CAGCAATGAGAGTTTATCAGGAGAAAGAAAGCCATTTTCAGGAAAGTTTACCTTAAATTTAATGATTAGGTGACCCTTTTCATATGGTCTATGAAAAACTGGCATGCCTTCATTTAGCACACACTTGATATCTCCATGCTTGACAATCTGACCTGGATGAGAGGTGATGACTATGGTTTGGTTGTCAAGAGTAGATATTGGCTTTTGAAAGCCACACAATGCTTCAGCCAGCTGTATGTCCATACACATGCAAAGGTCTTCTCCTTGTCGAGTAAAAACAGCATGGTCCTTCTGATCTAACACAATGATAATTTCTCCTGGCTCCAATCCTGGTTCTTGGTCTCCTTCACCATGGAATGTTATCTTCTGGCCATCTTTCATACCTTTGTCAATATGAATTTCCAGAATCTTCTTCTCTCGAACTATCTTCCTTCCATTGCAGCTTTTACATCTATCTTTAGGACTGATCCGTTCTCCATGGCTCTGGCACTCCATGCACACAGACTGAATTTGCTGAACCATTCCAGGTCCTATCTGATGAATTCTTATTTGCATTCCAGTACCTCGGCAATTGGGACAGCACTCCACTGCTCCCCTTTTGCCACCTCGGCCTTCACATTTGTTACAAATCACATTCTTTTGCAGAGCCAGTTTTCTTGTGGCATCATTATATAAATCTTCTAAGGTAACCGAGAGCTGACGTACTACATTTTTACCTCTCCTTTCTCTCTGCATCCTTCCTCCTCCTCCAAAAAACACATCAAAGATGTCCATGGGGAAACCACCTGCTCCACCCTCTCTAATTGCCTGTTCCTCAGAGAGAACTTCATAAGCGTGAGAAATCTGTTTAACCTTCTCACCTTCATTTGGATTCTTATCAGGGTGGTATTTCAAGACCAATTTTCTATATGTCTTCTTCAATTCTTCATGAGTGGCATTGGGTTTGACTCCCAAAACATCATAGTAAGTGGTTTCTTTCACCATTTTCTACAGCCAGTGAGAGGGCAGAGGCCCAGACAGTGGAGTGAAAAGGAGCACTTAGCTGTGCGCTGCTCTGGCAGCCGCCGCTCCTCTGCCTCCCACCGAGCCTTCTGGAAAGTTCCCTATATTGAAATTTTCAAGAGTTTACTACAGACTTAATTGCTAACAACTTCATAGGATACAAATGATCTCAAATGTGTAGACCCTTAATTATTAAATGTTTTCAGATTTTTCTTGAAAATTAAGATTGGCTCCCTAAAGAAATAAAGAAATACTGCAAACATTTGATAATTTCTTCATTTGAAAGATATTACAAAATCTAGTCACAGATGCTTGTGCTCACGTGTGTACCTGTGCACACTCTCTCATCCTCCCATGAAATATTTGACAACATAAAGAAATAATGAGATAAGGGGTAGATTACTTCTTTCTAGATATCACTCTGCAACTTAATTTTTAAAATATAAATGAGCTATAAATAGTTCAGTTGTGAAAGGGCATTAACATACTTCTGATCTACAACTTTAATGAGCCTACGAGGATACACAGGGTAGAGTCAGTGCAGAGAGGTGTATGATGAAGCTGAATAGCAGGCTTTCCAACATCCACCTTCCGCCTCCTTCAATAACCTTTCTCCTGGCAAAGCTTAATAGAAGGGTGAGTTGGCCTCACAGCTCAGTTCTCCTCAGGATGTAGGGATTGCCAATAGCATGTCTTCTTATCTTTAAAGACAGATTCAGTTGATATGCTTTGACAGGAACTTATGTGTGTTCCAGAATATTGGAAAGGGTCATTTTCAGCTAAACCAGAATTTGCCTAATTGCTCTTGCTAGCTGCCTGTGGGATTGGAGACAGCAGCAAGGTGCCGCTGAGCAGTATCAAGCTTTCCTAACAAGTTCTACAGCTTAGTAACCCTGCTGACAAATGACCTTTCAACGCTCCACTGTCAAATACCTAAATAGGAACTTTCTCCCTCAGCATAAAAAGTTAAAATCATTAGGAATGTGAAACTTTGTGGAAATCTCTAATGGGGTTTTGGGTTTTCAACAAAATAAATTATCACTCAGTTAAATATTACCTCCTCTCATACCCCATCTCTACCTCTTTGACTGTAATTTTTCCAAAACCATATAATCAAGGCAACACCTACTTACCTTAAGTGTTTCCTTTTAAGAGTGACTGTACGTGAAATAGCTTGTCACTTCACAGCTATAATGTGAGGGCAGCAGAAAAAGTGATTGAGTCCTTCTGAATGCAAAGAAGTCTATTTAAAACGACTGAACGTTACTCCCTAAAAACCAAAGACAATACACTTTATTGTTTTAACAATGAAAAGATTGTTGATACACACTTCTTTTCAGTTCAATGTACAAAAAGGACAAAGATAACCTCTGTAATTAGATATATATGAAAGGGTATCTTTCTCACATACACATGCACATTAAGAAAAACAGATTTTCCTAATTCATTCTATTGGTAGCAAAAGTTAAGTTGAGGTCATGCAGTTAGAATTACAGAACATTCCCAAAATAAGATTAGATTTCATAACAAAAATGTAAATTTCTTAAGGTTAAATTAGACTTCTGAAGACTCAATAATAATAATTTTTTTTCTTGTTGTTTCCAAATAAGGTTATACATTCTTTTATGGAGGTTAATGTTTTTTGCTTTTTTTTTTTTTTAACAGTTTTACTTTTAATTTGTTTAATGCTTCTTTTTAAAATAAAAGTATTCTAATAGTGTGACTAGAACTTGCTTCAGATGAGTTCTTTTGACTCTTTCCACAGTTACACATCCCCTCTGTACAAAAACCCTTTGGCTACCTAGAATGGTGGTTAATTGTGTAATCCCAGCACTTTGGGAGACCAAGGCAAAAAATAACTGGAGGCCAAGAATTTGAGGCCGGGCTGAGCAACATAGGGAGACGCTGTCTCTACAATAAAACAGAAAAGTTACCCAGGTGTAGTGGTACGTATCTGTCATTTCAGCAACTTGGGAAGCTGAGGAAAAATCGCTGAGGCCAGGAGTTGGAGGTGAGCTCTGATGACGGTGCTCTAGCCTAAGTGACAGAGCATGACACTGTCTCAAAAACAAATAAGAAAATCAAAACCCCTTTCAGCTCTTTTTTATTAACATGTGATTTATTTTCTCCAATATGTGGATAGGTTTGGTAAAAGAAAGAAAAGCAATAGCCTGTAGAACAGGGAGAAAAAAGGAAAGACAGACCATTAGCTTTTTATTTTGTAGGCTGCTTTATATAGTGACCTGAATATAGACAACAGTCGAATGCTAACTGGGTATATTAATATTCAAAGGACTGCCATACACATGGAATTGCGGCCCATATATATACACACATATATACAGATATATATATATATATTATATATACCGATATATATACATATACAGCATATACTCATTTTGTTTTTTCTATGGTATTTATTCACATTAAGGGCACATCCATATATGAAATTTATGATAAAATACTCCCATTCATGCTCTGGGAGGTCATTATATGTGTGTATGCTTACATATGCACAAATATTTGTGTATACATATATATATAATATATACACATATATATATTCATACATATATATGCATATTTGTGCCTGCATATAAGTATAGCATAGTACATATTTATACTGAAAAATTTTTCTTATTTACAAAAATCAAATTTAACTAAGCATCTTGGGTTTTTTGGTCCTGTTTTGCTTTTAATTTGATAAATCTGGCACCTCTGTGAAACGCTAGCATCACTGCCAGAAGATCATGAGTCTTCACTATAGATTTCAACTCACAAAAATAAATGTGAAATGATATTATTCTTTATGATTAGGACATGTTTCTTATTTGATTATATCAGAGGCTGGTTGATTTCATTAAAAAAAGCCAGAGTGGGGAGGTACCTGTGGCTCAAAGGAATAGGACGCTGGCCCCATATACTGAAGGTAGCAGGTTCAAACTCTGCCCCTGGCCAAAAACTGCAAAAAAAAAAAAAAAAAGCCAGAGTCCTCATGAGTTGGGTCATTAAATCTCAATCAGTGGGAAAGTGTGTGGGCAGGAATGATTTTCAAAATATAAAAATTAAAACTAAAAGTGAAGTTGAAAGTTTTCTTTTTTCCACTTTATTATTATCTTTATTGTCATTCTACTGGAGTTATATAAAGACATTGCTGAAGGCTAGAGGCTGTCGGGTGGATCTGAGAGGGTCACTTTGTCACAAGGCGCCTCTGACACCCACAGCAACTTGACTCCAGGTATGAGGCTCTGGGCTGGTGGCTGGAACACAGACCTGGCTCTGACTCTGACTTGCCAAGGCCCTGGGATGGAGTTCCCTGGGTCATCTGGAACTTCATTCCTGACAGTGCTCAAGGGAAAAGTGGCACAAATGAAAATTTCATGGTAATGTTTTCTGGGTCCAAAAAAATTTAAGTCAGATCAACTAACTGTTGATCTCTCTATGGACTCGGTCATGAATTTTCATACATAGGTGGTTAAGAGTCTAAAAGACATTTCCTATGTCAGTTGTTTAAGTTTAGCTTGGATATTTAAAACCCCACCAGTTTTTTTTTTTAACCCCACCAGCTTTTTTTTTTTTTTTTTTAACCCCACCAGTTTTCAACTACTGAAGTAAAATGCAGGGTTATGATCCATCTGAGTGCTAGCTCTAAGTTAAAAATGAAAAGGTTCAAATCAGCACCATCCCAACAGGGCTGTGATTTAAGTATAAGAGCAACCACTGCCTCTATGTCCCAGTTTTATTCCAGGAGGCAGAGAGAAGAGGCAAAATCCTGTTGAGAAATGAGAGAATTTCTTAATTCCCTGGGAATTCCCTGGGAATTTTCAAATGAATCACATAAGGTATACCTGCATTGAGAAGTACAGCCCATGATTAATTTCTATGACCCAAAGTTATAGTCATCAGGAAGAAGAAAATTGTGAATTTTAATGTATAAAGATGTTTAATAAATGTATATAAGTGAATGTATCCCAATTATAAAACAAAAATTCAACCAGCCACTAATGGCTGTACACTGCACATGGTCAATATGACTACTCAGCATGATTGCACATTTTCAATCACTTTAAATGTCTGCCTTAAATATTTTTGCCCTTGTCACTCCCTTTATAGGTATCGTGTTTTGCCCTGCCATATCGCTTTACCCTATAATTATTTTAATTCTATATTGTAGACTATAAAGTTAAAAATAATTCTCCATGGCATTTAGAGAAGAGACTTACCTATATCTTACCCCATTGCTTAGATGTCAAACTAATGTACTATTATTTCTAATATAGAGACCCAAGAGGAGTACTGAGAAGTCATTTAATTTTCAAAATAAACATCACTGCTTTATTGATGATGTAAAAAAGTATTAAAGCAATCTAGCAACTTTTTAGAGAGCTGGAGTTTGTCATTCTGTTGAAAAAAATAGTACCTACCTTTGAACGGAATGAGATTGAAAAAGGGGCAGGAGGGAACCATAGTTCTCCGTAATTGAGAATAAGTTTGGAAATAGTGTATATGGTAGATGAAACATGGCTACAAGCTCTTTTCCACTTGTCCCATTGAGAAGTGAAGGCTAATTGTTCTCACCTTACATCTGAGCTGGCTTCAGTGATTTCTCTCACCAAAAGAATATCAACAATAGAAATAATGTTGTGGAACTTCTGTGGCTATGTCAGAAGAGGCCTTGATGATTTCTGCCTTGGTCTTGGAACAGTCTCTCTGGGAGTCTGGACCTGTGTGTAAGATATCTAAGTACCCTGAGATCACCACCCCTACAGTGGTCAAGTGTATGCTCCAGCTGGCATTCTTTGATGAGCTTAGATTTCCAGTCACCTCCACCAAGTTGCCAGTCATATGAGTAAAAATATCTTGTGTCCTCCAGATCATCCTTTATCACTTGATATTACCAAGTGACATGCATGAAGACCATATAGAATACAAGAATCACTCAGCCAAGTCTGGCCCAAATTTTTAACACACACACACAC